TATATATATATATATATATATCATCAGTTCATATCTATCTCAGTCTGTTCATTATCTATCTATCTATCTATCTATCTATCTATCTATCTATGTCTGCTAGAATAATTATTTACAATTCTTGTATTTTTCTTTTTCTAGCTCGCTTCCGATCTTAATTTCAAAGCTCAAAGCCGCGGCTAAATTCAATCCGTTTCTAAAAGAGACATCTCCATTCATTGGCTTTGTGGAAATGTCTTTCATCTCCGCATAAAGAAAACATTTTCGATGTCTCCGATGTCTGCTGACGTTTAAATGTCCGCAAATTTTCCCCATTGTCACTTCTCACCTCCAGTGTGTCTGCAGACACCGATGGTTTTAGAAGTAACAAGAAAAAAAAAAGAAGTCAAATCGATATTTGTAAAGCAAAGTGACGAGAGGTTACAGGAAATTTTTATGGGCGATTGTAGGGTGTTGTTCTGGGCCAGACAGAGATAGGGTATGTGCAATGGTCGTGCGGGTTTCCGACCTCACATATTAGGACAAGAGGTGTGAAGTTAGTTTGTTATTCCGTAGATGAAAACGACATTTCTAAAATACTGGAATTATCCGGTATGATTTATAAAAAATAAATAGCGGATGTGATGTCTTAGAGTTTTGCTATATTCTAGAAGCTTGGCAAAAAATGGCTGAAATAAGGCGAAACTAGGGAAATCATCTTCGCTTGTGTGAGCAAGATGATTTTCGATACAGTGACCATGTCCGTGGTGATGTCTGAAAAAATAGGAGACTAATTTCTTTTAAATCGCTATATTCTAGAAGATTAAAAAAATGGATGAAATAAGGCGAGACTAGGGCAATCATCATCGCTTCTGTAAGCAAGATGTTTTTTGAATACAGTGACCATGTTCGTTATGATGTCTGAAAAGATAGGGGACTAATTTCTTTTAAATCGCTATGTTCTAGAAGGTTAAAAAAATGGCTGAAATAAAGCGAGACTTGGGAAATTTAACGAAATGTTACAATAAAGTATGTTCTAGTACCCCAGTACGTGACTCAGAATTGTTTTTTTTTTACTTCCCCTTTCATTTTCCCTCTTTTAGTTTAAATACATTTTGGATGAATCAACCGAGTGATAGGACAAGAACAGTGCGGGTTCGTCAAAGACACTGGAACGAGGAATGTGATATTCATGCTCAGAATGTTATCAGAAAGAGCAATACAAATGCAGAATTTTGGGCACCTGTATTTTATAGACAACACAAAGGCGTTTGACTAAATACGCCACAAAGATGTGTTGTAACTGCTCAGCAACTTTGATATATTTGGGAAAGATATTAGAATAATCAGGAACCTATACTGGCAGCAAACAGTGAATATACGAAAATAGAAAGGGGCGTAAGGCAAAGATGTGCTTTGTCACTTGACCTGTAAAACCGAGACGATTATAGACATGCAAGAGTCCAGTAAGAAAAACTAAAAATCAAGTTGATTATATAAACATCAACAAAAGATTCAGGAATGCAATGATTCACTGCAAAACCTACCCAAGTGCCGACTGCGGAAGCGATCATCGCCCTGTTATATGTAAACTAAGAGTGAAGCTGCGGAAATTGAAGAAGCCGAATGCAGCACTCAGACTGCAATACAACAAACTCCTGAGCGATCCTAACCTAAAAGAAAAATATATGGACAATGATACGAAGCACTCAATGGAAACTTAAAATATGGCGCACTAAGCGACGCTTTAGTGACATAAGCAAACGATATCATCCCAAAGGAGAGAGGACGGAGAAGGAAAAACGATTGGATGACTGATGAGCTTCTTGACATGATGGAAAGGAGACAGAAACCCTGCCAAGATACGGGGTAGAGTTCAAAAAAATTACACAATGAAATAAAGACCAAATGCAGGCAAGCTAAAGAAGAATGGCTAAACGAAAAATGTCCTGAAGTAGAAAGATTGAATACTACCATCAAAAGAGACATGCGCAAACAAATAAGACAACTAACAGGACAGAAGTCATGTTCGTCAACAGGCTGCCTAAAATCAAATGATGGAACACTCACATTAGAGAAGGAAAGAATTTTTTAACATTGGAACTAGTATATTAGAGAACTCTTTAGCGACGAAAGGGAACAACCAGCAATACACAGAACTACCGACGGACCTGGAATTCTGAAAACCGAAGTAAAAGCCGCACTGGCCGAACTGAACAGAAACAAGGCAGCTGGGCCAGACGGAATTGTAACGGAAATGCTGACAGCCTTAGATGACTTTGGCATAGACAAGATTACAGAAATAATAAAAGAAAGTGATACAGATGGAGAAGGACGTGTACTTATGTTTCCTAGACTACGCAAAGGCCTTCGACAAAGTACGCTACAAGGATCTGATGGACCTGCTCAGCAACCTTGATGTATTCTGGAGAGATATCGAAATAATCAAGAACCTATACTTGCAGCAAACAGCATGCATACGCATAGGGAACGAGTTCAATGAATATACAAAAAATCGAAAGGGGCGTAAGGCGAGGATGCGCTTTGTCACTCGACCTGTTCAACCTATGCAGCGAGGCAATTCTGAGAGAATTGAAACCCTACCGGGACTTAACTTTGGCGGCCACAATTTTAACAACATAAGATACACAGTACTGATAGCAGATACGGAAAAGAAATGACAAAAATCTCCTACAGAAGGTAGCGACGGAGAGTGAGAAGAAAAGACTAAGCATAAGAGAATGCATGGTCATCAGTAAAAGGATGAGCCCGAAATGTGTTTTGCCGGTCGGGAACACTAGAATCAAGCAAACGCGGAAGTTTAAATATCTGGTAAGCGTCTTGACAGAGGACGGTAAGTGCGACACTGAGATCCGTAGACGTATTGGGGTAAGTATTACGAGACAGGAGGATTTCTTTGGTAACGAAGAAAATAATACTGAGCTGTTAAGTGACATCTGTACTTTTTACGGCAGCGAATGTTGTGCGATTTCCTCAAAGATAAAGAAGAAACACGAGGTGACAGATATGTGATTCTACAGAAGGATGCTAAGGATATGGACCGAGCGTGTGAGTAACGATGAGGTCTGAGAGAGGTTGCAAACAAGGAGGAGGCTTATACTTAACATTAGGAAGAGGCAGCTGAAGTTTCTGGGACACATAATGAGGAAGGAGGGCCTGGAGAATCTGATACTCACGAGTCGAATAGAAGGAAAGAGAAAAAAAGGAAAAACTACTCGTGACATACCTGGCGGGCTTAAGCAACTGGATGACAGAAAAGTATGGGGGAGGAAGCTTGTTGAGAGGTGTAAGAGATAGAGGGAGGTGGAGAGCTATAATCGCCTACGTCCTGAAAAGACATGGCACATTAAAAGCTTTAAATGTTGATTTTGAATGTCCTCTGCGTGTTGGGGTCATCGCTGCGGTTGTCAGACCCATATCGGAGGTAAGCGGTCAAATTGAAGGCTTATAATTAGCATCAGGAGGAGGCAGCTGAAGTTTCTGGGACACATAATGAGGAAGGAAGGCCTGTAGAATCTGATACTCACAGGTCGAACAAAGACAAGAGAAAGCAACGCGTGACAGACCTGGCGGGATTAAGCCAGTGGATGAGAGAACGTGGTCTGGGGGGAAGGAGCTTATTGAAAGCTGCAAGAGATAGAGGGAAGTGGAGAGCCATGATCGCCTACGTCCTGAAAGGACATGGCACATAAAAAGAAAGAAAGAACCAAGTTGAAAAACTAAGGGAAACAAATATGGTCAGTTTACACTAACATCCCGGTTGAAATATGCTTTAATCTCTTCCAAAAAGCATCTAATACAGTCAAAGATAAACCCCTCCCTACCAAAAGCTAAAATAATAATAAAAAAACTGTCAATCACCAATCAATGCTACTTCACATTTAATAATGATTTTTATAAACAAACATTTGGGCTACCAATGGGATCACCTCTTAGTGGCGTGTATTTTCTTAGAATTTCTCGAATCTGCCCCTTTCCAAACAATCAACATACTTCTAATATATTAATAATGATCTGTTAATATATCCTCGTGATACTGACTTACCTGTTCATGTAGATAAACTAACTGTTGTAGAGTGGTTTCACAGTGGAGGCTTGTATTTGTATTAAGTCGGTCCTAAAATAGGTTCGACATACAAAACGTTAGGAACTTGATATAATAGATAATGACGCAGAGAAATCTAGTTGTGGTCGCTGATACTTTAGTATCCGACTAACGGTCGTCCGGCATCGACTGACTGACCGAACTCCACTGAGCGACTGCTACTACTCCTACTTATTATAGGTGGGAAAGTCTATTAACTATAGAATAGGTATGTTCCACTATAACACTAACGAAAGTCGAACACAGACATACGGAATGTAAGAAAACTATACGTTACTCTCCTGTATATAATGCTATACGACGTTGACAGCAACTTAAAACTGAGTGACTACCGAAAATAAAATATTTTAGAATAGTCAGCATTTTTTAAACATTTCTTGACGAGCCCGAAAACATCAGTAGAACCGGCATTAGGAAACGGAAGCTCAAAGCACCCGGTACCTGGGTCTATTTATTTATTAAATCGCCGTCTGGTTGTCTTGCGGTGCGCACGCGAGCGAACGGGACGGTCGCGTACACGGGACCCAGCACAAGATGAGACCATGGAAATCGGTGTTGTTACTGCGAGAAAGATTTCTTTTTGATATAACGAACTTATCTGATGTGAGGAATAATTTCTCATGAGACATTATCAGCTAGAGTAGAGGTGTTCGACCGCCGTCCTTGTAAGATTATTGGGGATCCAGAGACAAAAATTGGGGGGGAGAATTGTAAATTCTACAGTATTCTACCCCATATTAAAACACTAAAAACAGTAAAAAAAAATTCGAAAATGAGATGTTTTGATTGTAAAAGTCAAATAAAAATTGATAAGAATCTATAAAGGATGGACTGTATACATATATATATTAACAATTCCAAGCTATTAACTGCTACACCACCATCATATACAAACATATAGCGCTTGGTATTCCCATGCCGTCACCCATCTAGGTACTGACCAAGATCGACGTTGCTTAACTTCAGTGAGTGTATGAGAACCGGTTTTGTAATGTGATGTGGCCACAAGAATCGCTTGAAGATACTTTTCAGTGTAAATACCAAAGTATACTGGCAACAGTGTGTGTGTGTATGTGTATTTGTGTGTGTATGAAATAGAAAAATAATTATATAAATATGAACAGAATGAGATAGATAGATATATAGATGTGAACGCAGTGATATATATATATATATATATATATATATATATATGTTCCATTAAATAATATAGACAAGTGTTGACTTTATTTTATGTAAATTCTTTTCATAACGTCTGATAAGCTTAATAACATTATCATTAAACGAAGAAATAAAATCCCAATATTGATCCATATTTTTTAATCCAATCTAAGCTTTCGGCTTACATAAGCCATTATCAAAGATGTCAATTACTGTACAGCATATTAAGCAATATACGGACAAGCCACTGAAGATAGTCTGTGATTGTTTAGATGGAGGATTTCCTAGCGACGATAAACACGTGCATATAAGATGTTATGAAAAGAATTTACACAAAATAAATAGACAACACATGTCTATATTATTTAATGAAACATATATGATTGGAAAAATGCCTAAAACACACACACATATATATATATATATATATATATATATATATATATATATATATATATGAAGAAATATAGTCTTAAGGTGTGCTATATTTATGGAATAAAGTGCTCAATATCAGAGATAGAGCGTGTGTAAATATAAAAAGTGAACATCGAAGTCAACACTTAGAGGCGACAGTCTGTTTCATGCTATATGCAATCGTCAGGCCTGACGATTGCATCTAGCATGACACACTTATATATATATATATATATATATATATATATATATATATATATATATATAAAACTAAAAAGAGCCAGGTAAGCCTGCAAGGTTTCACCTACACGGATCATCAGTTTACCCTGACGATCCATGTAGGAGAAACCTAGGTAGGTTTACCTGGCTCTTTAGTTTTATCTAGGTTTGCTCTGCTTACTGTATTGAGCACTCTACGTGGTTACTGTACTTTTACTTTTACTCGTTTGGAGGTTTATTTTCTTTGGACTCTGAGCTTGAATTCTGCACGATTATTTTCGCCTCAATTTCAGGTTCTTAGTTCTTAGTTCTTTCTTTTTTTATTCCTCGTTTTCCTTGGGCATTGGTTTGTTCAATTACAAACCAAAATATCTAAGGTTTTTCCAAACGTGTACCACTATTTGCATATATATATATATATATATATATATATATATATATATATATTGGCTCCTGAAATATCAATTTCAGTTGAGCTCTCTGGGGACGAGGTGTGGGTTGATAAACAGTGACTATTATAGCTATATAGCGACTCTTCGCAGATGCGAATTGAGTCACTGTCGGTCACTGGGCGTGTTTGTAAAAATAAATACGCTAAAAAATTCACTTTCATCCCTACCGTGCGCCGACGGCTTAATGGTTAGAATCTCCGACTGACACCAATTCAGTCTGGTTTCGATCCTGGTTAGAGGCTACCGGATGTTTGAGTTTTCCGAACTGCCGTACCTTCGTAATCACCATTAGACTCATCCAACTCTTTCCGAATCCACTTCACTGTCTTCAGATAGACACACAAACACTTTGAAAGCAGTACGGCATGCCGTTTCCAAATTTCTGGCAGAGTAAATTGTGTCATGGTGCTTTTTTCTTTACAGACGGTGCCCAACTGACCCAACTATACGGTGCAGTCAACAAAATAAAGAAACCCCAAAAAAACAATACGCATGGCGACAATTTGTTCATCGCGCCCTATAGATAGATAGATGGATAGATAGACAGATAGGAAGTGAATGATATATATATATATATATAACAATAACATCTATATTAGTTTTACTTTTAATCTAATTTATGAATGCAATTTTTCTTTATTATTATATGGGTAACCTTAATTAAGGTTTAGGTTTCATTATTTAATAATATTTGAGGGTAATATTAAAGATTTTGCTTTCTTCTTACCGACCCTTCGTAGATTTCCTGATTTTCGAAAGATCAAAAGTTGAGTTTGATATAACTTGCTTCAAGATTTCTACTCTATGAATTTCAGAAAAAAAAAAAAAAATCTGTAATGAGCGTTGAATAACCAGGCTCAAAATCTTAATAGTAATACCCCATCCACCAAAAAACAAACAAGAACAGCAATGCAGAAGACCGGTATCAAAAGCATAGTACCCGTCAAAACGAATAAGATTACTTATGTATAAAGTCCATGAAATTTTCTAAGCTATGGTTAAGACAACAAAGGAAATTTATAGTACAGATTACATCTACCGGGTGTAACAGCAAAATTGTCTAAATCGTGTAAAAGCGAAATTTTCCAATTGTTACATTAAGTTCCGAAATGTTGTATCTTAGAAATGACTAAAGATATCTTATTGGAATTCTCCGATGTTTCTATAATCCCAGTGGACTCGAATTTGGGCAATAAGAATGTATAATTACTCTCCGAGCTTAACAGAAGAATCGTGATGAAATCGATCATGAACGAAAATGACGTTCATTATTAATCAAAACATAGCTGAGGAACAGAAGCTCATAAAGGATTGAAATTAAGTTCATATATATATATATATATATATATATATATATATATATATATATATGTGTGTGTGTGTGTGTGTGTGTGTGTGTGTGAAATATATATATATATATATATATATATATATGCATATTTATATATTATATATTCATGGTATTATTGGAAAGCGCTCAATATCAGAGATAGAGCTAACATCAGTCCAACTATATATATATATATATATATATATATATATATATATATATATATAAATATATTATTTCAGGATCATTTTTCTACTTATTCAAGATGATCTTCGACCTCTCTAATCTAACTTTCTGTCCTGGAATAACAAGATGCTTCACACGTTTCACGTACGATTTCATTTTCAAGTTTTTTTCATTGCTCTTTGGACTGTCATAGTTGAAATTCCTCTCTCACGTACCGAACGTCTTATGGATTGAGTTGGATCTTTTCTAATTGATCTCTTTATATCTAAGTCGAAATGATGTTAGCTCTTGTTATTGTGACCTCCTGATCCAGTTTTCTTCTCTAATGTCCCTTCTTTGTTAATCTTATTTTCACCGTTCTTTTGATGGCTCTTGAATGGACATTGAAGATGGAAGCCTTCGTATGAATGCTGGCACCATTACAAATGTCTAAATAGTCTTTTACATCTCACCATTGTTCACTCAAGGAGCTTTTCAGTGATACTTTCGAAAAATGCCAAGATGGTTAAACGTCTTATCGGAAAACCTGGAAAAAATTCAATTAGTTTAGTGGATATTACATATTATATATTTTGTGGGATTGGGCAACTCGAGGCAGTGTAATGGTTAGCACGTTTGTCTCGCTAGAACATTGACGACTGAGTAGTGAGTTCGATCCTCACTGGGTGCCCCCTACTTTCGGCCTTGTTCCACATCTAAGCTACGCTTGGAAAATCACTATACATTTTGTGGGATGAACAAGTATGCCATTAAACGTAAGGACGATTTTGCTGTTACAGCCGGTTCATTATGACTTTTAAAAATCCCCTGAACATGTGCAAGGCAATAGATGTATGATTTATTTAACTGAAATTTTATAAGGTTTTTATGTAATGTTATGTCACTAACATGCTGAGGGCCTTGGCTTTAGCCAAACGATGTTCATTTAATACAGTGATTGATAAATTCATCGGATTTAAGAAAAATATCGGATTTAAGAAACACACTATGATTTAATCCTCTAAATCGATGTTTTAGTGTATACGTATTGGCTTTTATGAAACAAAATCGATTAAGGGACGGATCATCCTTTAGGCTAGTACATGCTGCAGCCTAGGTTCCAGGGCCCAGGGCTGGATTACCCTTTAGGCTAGTACAGGCTGCAGCCTAAGGCACAGGGCCAGATTACCCTTTAGGCTAGTACAGGCTGCAGCCTAGGTTCCAGGGCCCAGGGCCCAGGGCCCAGGGGTTCCTTTTAGGCTAGTACAGGCTGCCCTAAGGCCCAGGGCCAGATTACTCCTTTTTAGGCTACAGGGATAAGGCCCAGGGGCCAGATTACCCTTTTTAGGCTAGTACAGGCTGCAGCCTAGGGTTCCAGGGGCCAGGGCTGGATTACCCTTTTAGGCTAGTACAGGCTGCAGCCTAAGGCCCAGGTACAGGCGGCAGCCTAAGGCCCAGGGGCCAGATTCCCTTTAGGCTAACAGGCTGCAGGGGCCCAGGCTGAAGCCTAGGGCCCAGGGCCAGATTACCCTTTAGGCTAGTACAGGCTGCAGCCTAGGGCCCAGGGCCAGATTACCCTTTAGGCTAGTACAGGCTGCAACCTAAGGCCCAGGGCCAGATTACACTTTAGGCTAGTGTTGTGGTAGGATCCACCTAATTTGCATAGTGGAGTACCGATCATATAAATATGGTTGGTACCGGGAAGAGAGGGAGAAATCAAGAGTTTCAACCAGAGACTCTGCCCGACTGCGACTCAGTCAACACATTCTCCAGGAACGGTCTTACCAGGAATATACAAAAGACAATATGTAAATATTGTGTACACTTTCTTGTTTCAATACATTTTGTTCTAAGTACATTTTGTGTTGCATTATTATTCCATGCATTAGTCAAGTTTCAACAGCTAGTATAGCCTGCAGCCAAGGGCCCAGAGTCGAATCTTTAGGTTAGGATAGCCTGCAGCCTAGGGGCCCCTCAAGCTTTTTTAAAGTAATGGTTTTTATTTTCTACGTGTTATAACTTCTGAATAGTTTCATCAACTGAAATGATATTAATATGACAAACTCATATTTATTTGGCTTTGTAGGAAGCAAAGCAAGGAAAAGAATGTTTTATTCTGTGTCATTGTGTTTCAAGGAGATAACATCTTTGATTTTAGTTCAGAATGTTTAAATCTGACAAATTTTGATAAAACAGTGATCTTAATTTTCTAGATGTTATAAGTTGTAAATAGCTTCATAGATTGAAATGATATTGGGTTGGTGCAT